ATATCGCAAGGCAGCTAAAAGAGAATGGAAACATCATCATGACTGTTGGACTGAAATACGACAACGAAAAGGACTTTCCAAGAATGCAATTCGGAAGTGAATGCTACAGGTTAAACTTAGATAGGGAATTCGCAACACGCTTCTTACGAAAACTCTGCGATGGTGAGTTATCGATGCGCATAACTTGAACAACTCATTCAATCAATCAATTCATTTCAGTGATTCATAGTTCAGTATTTAATATTAATTTCGTTGCAAATAAATACTAAAGTTTTTCTAATGATCAACTTATCATTTATAGTTCGACTACCGGAAAATATGAAATTTGCAAACATTTAGTTAGGATTCGTTAACTTGCACAAAGCTTTTGCAAGTTGTAACATTCGTAAATAGTTCAGANGTGAAAGATTATGGCAACGTCATCAAATTAATGAAATCTAAACGACTTCCTTTTCAAAGCGCTCTTTCGAGATAACTCTCATCATAACTTTCAGCTAATTGCTTCTGTCCACCGCCATTTGTGCAATTCACAGACCCCAAAGACAAATGCAAGAAGTTTGGTGAATGCGTCTATCAACGAACTGAAGCATTTTCATATCAGATTGCTCGTAAAAGATGTGCTTTTTACGATGCTGAAATGACTGAAATACTCAGTCCAGAGAAAGATCAATTTCTTAAGAGTAAGTGAATCATTTTGTCATGTTAAGTCCTTTCTGATTTGCCATTTTTGAGGATTCATTCGCATTCGGATTAACGAGAATTAAAATATTATCAATGGATACAGAAGAGTTGTCAAGATTCAATATGCAGATCATTTCGAAATCAGTCATTGATTTACAATGACTGATCATCTGCGGAATCATTGCATAGAACTGATTTACAATGTTTCATAGGACTTATTCGTTCAGATTGGGCTGCTGGAGCAGGTGCGCAAAGCCTTTGGCTCGGAGCAACCGGTGTTGATGGCAATTACACGTGGACCATTAGCGGAATACCGGTCAGTGCACTTTGTTGGCGTTGAATTATGCAATTGCTCATCGTTGGTGATTACCAACTCCTGGAGGTCGAATTTTGAAATCACTCATTTTCGCATAGGGCGCGTACTTCTGCAGAGAATCCTACTCATATAGCACGTCTTGATCATCTTCTATCGCTATTCCCGTAATTTTGTCACAAGCTACGTATTCACCAGATGTAA